TTATGAGAAAGGATGTAGTACCCATTTAAAAATAATGAATTGCAGAAATTCTGTGAGAATATAGAGTCATGTTACATTTACTGCAATGTGTTTGGGATGTTCCAGTCTGCACCAGAATACACTGCTGGTGAAGAGAAACCATTCCCCATTTTCAAGTGTCCACTTTTGTTTTAAAGTTACTATGAGCTTTCATTACAGAGTGTGATTAACTGTTTGACATGGCTTCTACTAGTGAACACTGAATTTTTTTATCAGCTTGTACTGAAACAATAGTTATGAAGACTGAGAGGAGGGTCACTGAACATGCTGAAACTCCTCATTCCACTGACCTAATCACCAGAGCTTATTTGTGACTGTAGCTAACTGAGACCAGCACTTGCTTGATATGTATCTTGAAAGCTTTTCAAAGAGATACTTAAATATATTGTCAGATACTACATCATATTCAGGTCAGGGTAAAACCACAAGAGGCAAATTGCTCAGACATCTTGTCTTTGTGTTTTCCTCCTCCTACACATCACTGTGGTCATTCTTGCACCAATATTTTCCTCTAAGTTCCACAGTGTGAAGTGTACAGGAAACCTTTCACAAGGGAAGGGCCCCCAGGACCTATTTAAACACAAGCCTGCTAACTCAGCTGGCTCCTTCTGAAGTGCATCCTTTGAGAAAGGTGAGGGTAGCTCAAATTAAGACTGCTCTGTGTTCCTCGTTCCATTTACATTACAGATGCCCCAGACTCCAGTCAGCACACCTTATTATCTCATTACAGGCTGCCTAAAGCTCTAGGTTTAACTTGCTGCCCCATCAGCTGATATTACCACAGAGATGCAACAAAGTTGTCATAAAAGGATTTCCCAAGGGTAATTTGGGTTTTTACACAGGGATCTGTGGAAGGAATATAGTCATTAGTCTGTCTTCAGCTCTTTAATTCATAGTGTTCAATACCTTGCAGTATAAACAGTTCTGAAAAGCCATTTACTTTTATGAATGTATATGATGCTATTAAAATTAGTAAATATATGATTACTGTAAAACAAATACCTTTTCATAATGCAGACTAATTCCAAGAGCAATTATCAGATACTTGTAAGATACCTGTTGTGTAAGGAACAAAAAGTATTTTAGACAAAGAAACCAAAGCAATACCTCCAAGTAAATTTCAGCTACCTGACAGCAACAAGGAATAAGATATAGGGAGCATCAGTAGCATAAATTAAGCTCTAAGAATTCTAATTAAAATGCTAACTGCATTATGAGTTACACATACAGCCTTTGTTACACAAAGACCAAGGTATCCAGAGTAAAACATTCTCTCTTTTCTGTTCAGTTCACCATAAACAGGGCAAAGGCTTATGATAATAGTATTTTAAGTTGATGTTATTCTAACCTAGTTATCTATCACAATTTTTATTAGAAAAATATCTTAGGATCAAGTACGTAAGACTAACTGGAATTTCCCAGCCTCCTAGATGCTGGAGGCCTTGCTCAATAGGCAGTTCTAAGGGGATCTGCAGGAAGAGGACAGGACTCATGACATAAAATAAAAATTACCTTGATATCATTCTCCAGCCAGACACAGTTCTTATCTGGATCCAATGCTATAACTTGAGATTTGATCCACTCAACACCTGTAGGCATTACACTTCCCATTGGACGTGCAGAATCTGCCAGCTGCTTTGCACCACCACCAACCAGGGTCCACAGGGGCTGATAGTAATGAGTCTGAAATAAAAGTTCAAATGGACATTTCAAAACTGTTTAAAGGGACTTAAATGCACATCACTCCAAACAGGAGCGATGTACTCTAAACATTGTATTATTCTTAACAAAAGAAGCTGTATAAATAACCAAGTTTTTTCCATTACAAAGCTGCAGGGATGCATAAATCTCAGGAAGACGGAAGTGTCATACAAAACCTTTGGCAAGATGGTCAGCTGGGTTACATTCCACAGTTAAAAACATGTGGGGCTAGAGAGAATCAGACCCATCTGGTCACATGTAAAATGCTTATTCTTTACAGTGCTTTCCAGCAGAGGGACACTCACCTTACTTGGCTCAACAACAGCCACGTTTTCTGCCCCCACTTTCCTCTTCATCCGAGCACTCATGGCGATTCCACCAGCACCTCCACCCAACACAAGTACTTCATAGTAATGCTTGGCAGCACACCTGGCTGCTGTGTGTAAGCCAAAGGAGCTCATCTTCTGCATTCCTGGTTTCAGCAACCACACACCAGAACAGAGACAGGAGCAGGAGGACACTGCTCCAATTGCTGACATCTTTCATTAAGTGGGAAGCTAGGAGATAAGGAAAGGCACCAGTAACAATTGCAGGAGGCAGAATTTATATTTGTTTAAACGCCTAGGTTAGTTTTCAAGGCAAAAGTCATAGTACTAAGTTCCTTGAGTCATCAGGCAAGAATTACAGCTTTTTCATTTATTTACTCATTTATGTTACTTTTATATGTGTAATTCAAAATTACACCTGAAACCTCAAATATTTTCAAGAAAATCTCCAAATGTCAGCTTCAAAAATTCTCCACTAGATGTAGCTGAGCAACTTATTCTACTCCTTTATGTGCTATCTTGACATCTCTCATGTCTGTGTACCCTGAATTCTTTATAATACCCCATTATTAATCCTTACAGTTACAATTTAGGACAGAGGGAAAAATTTCAAAGGCATCCACTGTAAAACAAATGTTAATAATTTTGTTTTGCAGGTTTCAAAGATGCAAACATTTTGTTCTCATCCCCTCCCCAGTCAGAGCAAAACACCTAACTCCACAATAAGTCAGTTGCACTTTAGAAGGCTGTTTATCATCTGTGCAAGCAGTAAGCTCTTTAAGATATTTAAAAATGTGTGCCTCCATTTAAAGATCTCTTTTCCCTTTCACTCTAAGGTTATTTGTTTGCATGTTTTTAGAGTAAGTCTGTTTAATACTAGAGAAAATGGACTTTAAAGAAATTATAGTTAAGACCGAGCAAGACAGCTCAGTACCTCAGAATCTCAACTAGAGCCCAGAACAAACACGGAACCGAAGCATGGCAGCTCATGCAGAGAAACTCAGAACAACTGCAGTTTCTTCCTCTCCAGGGCACCTACCGTATGCTAAGCTCCTCAGCCTGCCTACTTCATCGGAGCAGTTTATTGAAGGAAGTTGGAATAAATAAAGTTAGAGAAGTCCTACTGGCAAGAAATACAGCGTTGCAACTATTCTTTAAACAGCTACCCGCAGACCGGCAGTTCAAGCATTCCGCCCGTGCACGTGTGCGAGCTCGGGCAGCTCCCAGCCGGCTCCGGAGCCGGCGAGCCCCCAGCTCCTGTCACGGCGGCCGCTGCCGCAGCCTGCTCCGGCCCCGAGGCCGAGGCACCCGCCCTGCGGGGCAGCGGGGCCACGACCCCGTCCGCGCCGGCGAGGCCGCGGCGGCCCGCGGGCTGTCCCGCCGGCGGGGCCCCGCCGCCCCGACCCGCCGGCCGCGCTCCCTCACGGCAGCACGGACCCCCGGCCGCTCCGCACTCACCGCTCCTCGCGCCGAGCAGGGCGGCGAGCACCGCCCGGGCCCGAGTGCGATGGGCGCCGGGAGCGGCGGGGCGGAGCTCGGGGCTCCGGGCGCTGCCCCGCCGCGGGCAAAGGCCGCGGGCCGGCCGGGCCGGGCCGGGGGTGGTCGCGGAGCCCCCGCGAGGGGCTGAGCCGGGCGCTCCGCTCCGGGCAGGTGCCGATGGCACCTACAGTTCCAACCCCGTGCTTCCCAAAGTTCTGAAACTCCAATCCCAAACCTGGCCCCCTGCCAATCCCTGACTGAAACCCGGCATTGGCCTCCATGCCAGGCGGCAGCCCCAGTCCCACCTGGACACAGCGCAAGTCACTCACATCGCCCTTACCAACACCACATTACGACCACTACAGTACCTGCCATGGAGTGACCACTGATACTCCAATATCTGAACTTTCTCCGGTTACCTGCGAGCACCAGCCCTAAACTATAATACAAGAGCCCTTTTCCATAGACAGAAAACCAGCAAAATGATTAAGCTTAATAAAAATAACACCAAAATTAACTAGATCAATAATTAATAATAAATGAGCTCTGATGGAGTGCATCCCCAAAGAGATAGGCAAAGGCTCTCTTTTCAAAGCTGCTGAACACCCACAGTTCCTGGGTTTTACTGGACAGAAAATGAACTGAAAGAAGACACAAATTAGTATCTTTAGAAGTGCATCATGGAGATCAAACTTTTTTGTCAATACAAGAGAATTCTTTAAAGAGAAAAAAGCCCCAGGCCTTTAAAACATCCAAACTGCCAATTTCTGTAATTTTTATGAGTTTCTCAACTTCCTGTTTCCAGCTGCCTTTGTATAATCAGAGTGCAGCCTTTTTTCCATATTTTTTGTTCTAAGAGGTTGGTTGTCAGCTCTGTTTATGAGAAAATTGTTGGGCTGTTTTTTAAACATATATTTTTAGGACTGCCTTTAAACATTGCAGTATTTTCTTTAAGCCCCCATACATATTGCCCACAGACTACTTACAGAGATAACCCGCAGTTTTAATTAAAAATATTACCCAAATGAATTCCATTTCAGAAACTCACAAACCAAGCCTGAAGAAACCCCACCTGAAGCACAGAGGCCTCCAGCAGCTGCAGAAAGCACGGCCTTAACCTTTCCAAAGTCCAGGCAGGATGAGAGGGCTGATGTGTGAGGGTTGGGCACATGCTGACTAACCCTAACCCGTACTACCACATTTATCTACTCCATAAGTAACTTTTTATAAAATCAAGCAAGACTAAGAGTACACAGCAACATAATTGCTCACTCAAGTTGTGCATGATGATGCAAGCACATATTTTTAGATGTCAGTATTGTTAAATTAATCCAAATGTAGCATTTACTTTTATGCATTAAGACTTACAAGAGTATTTGGTAGAACATCCTATGGAGATAATGAATTATAGTTTTCACTGAAGTATTTTAAGAACGCATTAATAGAAGTTATGTAAATGGAATAAACTTCATCCTATATATTTTTATTAATTTCCCCCCTTTATTACAGAAAGGTAATTTAATCAAATTAGGTCCTTATTAATAGAAAACATTGATCTTACCATTTATAGGACAAGTTCATAAAATACATTTTTATGTATGTGCATGTGATTTCTCAGGTAAGCACTGTCAGCTTTTACTCCTGTGATTGGAAATTATTCCAAATGCTGAAATATACCAAATTTCAAAAGTATCAATTCCTATGAATTTCTTAGAATTTTCTAGCTTTAGTTAATATAATCATGGTTTTTTGAAACAAAACATAACAACATCCCACAAAACCAGTTCTTTGGAAAAAACCCACAGTTTTTGATAGAGAGAGAGAATATGACTTGACAAAGTAAACTGGATTATGAGGCATACAAATCAAGAAACATCAAAGGAATTCAATCCTGATTTGGATACTGAGGCATCCAGTTTCATGTTATAGTTTAACGAGAACAGTTTTAATTCCCAGAATCTGACTGTGAAATTACATTACAAACTAAAATACTTACACAACATTTAGTTATGTACATTCTGCTCCAAAGAATGGACTGTGGAAATTCTTTACATTTCTCTTAGAAATACATACAAACCACAGCAGAGGCCAACAATCCACTGGCAATTAATAGCCATGAGTCAACTTCAGGGAAAAATACCTGTGGAAAGTTTTAATCTAATACTGCTTTACTAAAAGCATTTCAGTGTCTCTTCAGACTGCTTTAAGTAGTTTGTTCTCCTTGCCCCAAAACATTATCCCAGTTTACCTTGTATGATGCCTGGGTAGTTGTTAGAGTACATCTTTCACAGAAGAAGATAAATATTAAGAACAGGAAATTAGGAGTTCAGAAAATTACAATAGAGAAAGTCCAGGCAGGTGTACACTGTGTGAGTCATCTAAAACAGAAGGAAAAGTAAAATTGACTGTGCCCCTGTGATATACTCCTATACATATTTTATGGAAAACTTTACACAGCTTACCCTTTATCTTACTTCAAAACACATAATTTATATTATTACTTAAAAAGAACCACAGATATACTTGAAAAGAAACACAGTTATAAAGTAACTAGTCTGTTACTCTGTAGGAATAACTTACAGCTCTTTTACTAGTCTGGACAATTTGTACATTCATTTGAATGGGAGATCACACCAAGTGCTGCAAGATAGGAATTACATTCAGAGAAATGGGTATCAACCTCCATTCCAAATTTCTCATCAGTACACTCTAATAATCATCAATCTGGGTGAGGACTCTCTTATAAAAAATCTTAGATAGCCCCAAAATGCAAATAATTAATTTAAACACTAAATGCAGTAGTTTTCCTACAGGTGGCTGAATTTCACATTAAGTGGAAAATTTTAGTTTTGGTTATGTTTTATTTTGTCACATAAAATAAAGAAATTACAACTTCTAATGCCACAAAAATATGCTTAGACCACACAAGTCTTCCTAATAAACCATTACAGAAGCAACAGTTTCCTGGTTTGACTTAAATGTTTGTGGAAACACAAATTAATTTGTCAAAATTGACGTATACACAATGCAATCTTTAGTGTTCTGCTTCTCCCTTGCCAATCATTTCAGCTGGGAACTTATTCAGTAGTTACTTTAATGCTGTTCTTAAGTTACTTGATGAAAATGCAGCCACTGAAGTCTGATGATGAGAACTGAACTTTAAGAAGTTCTTTGCATTTTGTCTGAAAAACATGTGCCAGTCATCAAATCTCTCAGAATTCTAAACACCAAAAGAACAGAAGAAAACAAAAATGGATAGGTACTTAAAACTATGATGTCTAGTTCTCCTATATACATATATATATATATAAAAATTAACTTACATTGTAATATCAAACTGCATAGCATTACAAAAGAAGGCAACTTGAATGGCTGAAATTAAACAATGTGAATGTTACCAACTCTATTATTACCATTCTGGAATTTATAATACCATAGAGTAGACTGTTGCTAGCAACAGCTATAGCCCAATTTAAGCAAAGTCTGCCTTAATTCCAGTGAATGTAGAAATCATTAATTCAGACAAGTTGTTGCATGCTCTGTTTTCAGGTCCTCTTTGCAGGTTTTGCTGTTAACTGTTTCTCTCTTTCAAGTTCCTTCTCACGTTGCTGCTCTCGTTCCAGTTCTTCCTTCTGCCTCTTTTGTTGCAGCTTAAGTGCTCTTTTCTAAACAGAAAATAAAATAATTGTAAGTTTTATAGATATATGTAACTTAAATTCAACAAACAAAATTCCTCCCATTCTGCCTCTCCAACATACCTTATAACTGAATATAGCATAAACTGTTCATTTTTGCTTCATCCCTCCCACTTTCATCTTACTGTTCAGAAATGGGAAAACACAAACTGGAGCCCCCACAATCTCACTAAAAGTCATCCTTTGGGTGTACCTGACAATGTTCTTACCATGCAATTTACTGCCTCCGAGAAAAAATTCTCTTGTTGAACACACTGAAGGACTAATCTTGCCAGAATGTAACCAGGCTGTCTATATAGCATGGAACAAGTGAACTTATGCCACTGTTAATGGTACATTAAACAGAAGGATAAATTCTTACATTTGTGACAATCTAGTTTCCATTGAAATAAAACTGAAACAACAAAGAGATCTGCTTGGAATGGAGTGGACCAAGCAACAGAACAAGGCATGATTCTTACACCACCTAAACATGAAGACTGCACTGAAAGAGTAGTTCAGATGTGTAAGCTGCTTGAGCACCATTAGGAAAAAGTGAGCGGTTAAAATCATACATGGCTTGGAGCTACTGAAAACATCCTTTTAACGTAAAATTCTATTTTAATCAGAATTTTCAGCATCATCCAAAATAAAAGTTGAAAGTCAATAATATATAAGTAAATATCTCTATTGGAAAGTAAAAATATTTATCCCACTTACTTTTAACTTTGATGTCTTCTCATGCAGCATCATCATTTCATTTCTAATATTCACTAACTTGTTGTGATAGTGTTTAGCTTCTGAAAACTTAAAAACCATAACTGTTAAAGCATTGACTGTCAAGTTGGAATAGTTGTTTTATAAAGCTACATAGCAAAATAGCAATCAAAAACAGTGATTACCAGAACAGTTTGATAATGTAACATATTCAAGTTTATATACAAAATACACATATCACATATATTAATATAGAAAACTACTACATCTCAACAGTTGCATACAGTTATCTAGAGTTATGACTCACAAAACTAGAACAAAAATTTTACAACTTTATATGCACCACACAGGAGTGTTTAATGCACCATTCTTGCTAGTCTGGGGAGGTACACAGAGCCCATGCTGGAGCCTCAATCCTACTGAAAAAATGTGTACATTTGCTTTGGCTGCTGGCTTTGAACAGCCAGTCTCACCAATGCTGCCGGACTGAGCCTGAACTCTCTTCCCATTGCCCTTTCTGTTAAAGGGAAACATGCTGGTTCCCACCCTCTCCAGCAGTTTGTCCCTAATATCTGAACTGGCTTACTTTCATTAAGAAAAAGATACAAGCTAGTAATGCTTCAGCTAGAAAATTTCTGCCAATCTAGAATTTAAAAGGCATTACTGATACTTACCAAAGCATTGATATGAACAATGGAGTTACAATCTTTGAATTTTGAAATTTCTTGTTCTAATGTTTCTAGCAGTACCACTTGGTTCTGTCTAAAACAAAACAAGATGCATAAACCCAAAGTAAAGCACCACATACATTTTTCAACCAGACCCTTAAATAGACTTCTAATCAAAACAGTATCAATATGCACTTCCCAATACCAGATTCCTCTTATGCTATGCTAGGCAATTTCCATTAAAACATAAGTAAATGACTTTACAAAAACTCAAACTACTATTTGTTGCACAAATTCAGCTGGCAACATACAGCACATGGACATCCAGGATAAATATCCCAAAAACCCTGAAGAGACACTCTCCAGGTTGCAGTGGTTGACTGAAAGGAAGAACAATTAGCTCTTGACTTTCCACTTGGGTGCCTCTGCGTCACATTGCAGGACTAAGTTATTTCTGTACAGAACTTGTGTGGATTTCTGGTTTATTAAGGATCTCCATCCCACACAAATCAGCTCAAGTCTTTCCAGACAAAGGCTGTCCGTGGCAGGAGCACAACCACATCATGCATAGTGAAAACCAAACTAAGGTACCCTACAAAACCTGAGATGGATCTGTGTAAAGCTCTTTCCACTATCTCTGTATCCATGGCAGATCTGATCTGCATTTGAAATCAACTACTCTTGGTTATCAGTGAGGTATCAGTGTACAAAGAACTCTTATCTATTTAGCTCCTTACTTGTTTTTTTTCAAGTGCTTTTTAATATGGTTTAGAGACTGAACAACAAACAATGTATCTCACTACAAGCTGCCCTGAATACAAACTGCATGTCTCCAAGCAAAATAAATCCAGCTTTTAGCACACTTTTCCACTACAGAAATGAATAAGCATTTAAGAAATCTAAGTCTTCTGCTCTGCCTGGCTTAGGGGATTTTAGTCTTCTAGTGTTACACATTTTTCAGCCATAGTGCTCACAGGCTACACTGCAGCTTAGACACCCCCTAGTACTCCCATAGATCACTGAATTATTCAGGATGCTCAAGCCAGGATACAGAAATGCTAATGAACAATATTCCAGTTAAAGAGAGCTGGCACATTATATTGAAAAGAGCAGCAAACCAAGTATGCATGTGTATAAAGTTGCTTTCAAAAATATGCTTACGTAAGTTCCTGCAGTGCTGATTTTGATCGCTGAAGATCAGGCAGATAGTGGGAAATCAATCCTTCAGTTAGCTGCTCCACAGCTTTCTCATCTATTAAAGGCAGATCTTCTACGACTCCTTCATCTGGAGATGCATCACTGGGAGCTACAACAAAGAACAGCAAGGCTGAGTGTGACAGGTCAGCACACACTTCAAGTTTCACCTAGAGCAACTATATTTTCAGAAAAGGAAAATTCTCTGCACTTTTTCAACTAAACTGAGCTTTCGTCTTCCTCTTCTTCATTCCTCCTTTATTCTCAGTGCTGTATCACAAGCTTCCTGATAAACCCTTTTATGTGAACAGCAGCAGAATAGAAAGAGGGAAATATAACTGTTCCATATATATATCTTAAAAAAATTAAAAATTCAGTACTCCAATCTACTCGAAAAAAAAAAAAAGGTAACATCAGTGTTCTGACTATGTATCAATAGTACCTAAACATTAACAGCCCCCAGCCTTTGCTTTCAAAGTCTGAGATCAAGCTATGAAAGGCCTTCGTCTGTCACTCAAAACACCAGGAGTTCATGCTGAACTCCAAGAACTGAATTTCACGGCCTGTAAGTTTCGTATGGGCAGGCTATGATTATTTTTTGTCTGCTCGTGGAAGATAAAACCGTGTACCCTCCAGGCCCCCGCACGGGAGAGCGCGATGCGGGCGCCAGCCCTCGGCCTCCGAGGGCGCTGGCCCGCAGCACCGGGCGTGGCGGAGCCTCCCGCCGGGCGCCCTGCTCTGGCCGGCTCCAGCCTCTCCCCGGCCCTCCCCGCAGCCCCGGCCCGCCCGGCCCGGGCTCCCCTCACGTACCCAGCGAGCGCCCGGGATCACCCACGGCCGCCGCCTCCGCCGCCTCCTTCCCCTCCGGCCGCTCCGCGCCGCTCATCGCTGCGCTCCCGGCGCGCTCCGGCGGGGCAGGGCGGGGCGGGGCCGCCCGAGCCCGCGGCAGGCGGGTCCGGCCGCCCTCACCGAGCGGGCGGGCCCGGCGCCCCCCGGCCCGCGCCCCGCCGCCGCACCGTAGAGCCGCGGCCGCCTCGCGCTCCGGGGCTGGGCCGCGGGCGCGGAAGTGACGCGCGAGCGACGGTGGCGGCCTTGGGAGACGAGCCTGGAACCGGGGCCGAGCCTGACAGCGGGGCCGAGCCTGGTACCGGGGCCGAGCCTGGAACCGGGGCCGAGCCTGACAGCGGGGCCGAGCCTGGAACCGGGGCCGAGCCTGGTACCGGGGCCGAGCCTG